ATGAAGGGTAACGTAGCAACAGGTGTCATTTCAGTGGATCAAGGTAATCTAACTAACTAAGAAGCAACATTCTTGGTACATCGTCGATGATCCGAATGGGGGGTTCCAATGGGGAATCCCCAAATTTCGCTGGATAAGGGAAAATCCCTATGAAAAAATCGATGATAACTGGGGGTACCCCCATAGGAAACCAGCTTTAAAAAATTGACTGAATCCAATGATTTGATGGTGTTTTTTTCCGCCATGTTGCTGCTAATTTTTTTACATATTTGCAGGTGAAAATGTTTGATGCTCCCCTAATCTTTTCCTGTTGAATCTGACGTTTGAAGGATCTCCAGTGTTTTGACATGCTCATAATGTCTACACTCTTGATGTTGAGATCCCCTGGTTTAAACCACTTGGAAAGAATATCCTTCCCTATGTCGTGCAGGCACGAGAACAGGCTACCTTGGTCCTGCAGCTAGACAGTGGCCCGGTGGCAGCTGGTCTTGGATCAACGAAAACCTTTCAATCCACAGCTCTCTATGTCTATAATGTTACTTCATGTTCATTCGTGTTCCCGAAGCGCAAGAATTTGTCTCCAATCAGACACAGCTTGATGGTATTGATGGTATTGAGTACTGAGTCAAATTGTCACAGAAATCGCATCTGAGCGCCAGCTGGAGCCACAGAGGACACGGATCCCAGCTGGAACCATCCAGGTCAGTACCTGAATGCCTATGCCTTGCGAGCGCAGGCGAAGCTACCATCGCTACCATCGTATCTCTATGTATCGTGGGATTGGGCTTCACTGGATCGACTATGATGGAGCAATTTGATAGCTGATGTGAGAAACAAACAGAGCCTCAAATCTGACCCCGCTTACTTTTCAAGCTCTGGGTGTGTTTGGATATGACCTGTCAGCATCTGCGTGCATCAACTAGCCATAGTGGTCAGTGGCAGTTCTACATCTGGCTAAGTCACCAGGGTACTTCAAACCCATACAGTTTTCACCTTGGAATCCACAGGATTTCCCACCAGGCTGCCATGTCAGCCCTGGACTGGTCGGCTGCCAAAGAAGACTGGGAGCGGTTGCTGGAACGAGGCCACGACGAACTTGGAAACCCAACGCTCCAACGGTCCCATTTTGGGCAGGATTCATGGTCAAAACTGTTTGGGATATGGCGGATATGGGGCCTAAAGGCAGGCCCCTGGCACAAACTTTGATGCAAAAGATCCAATAGCTGCAACTACACCCCCAGGTAGATGTTGCATGTTTGATGGGATTGGTGAATATACGATTTAAAAGTCATCAACCAGAAGCTGGATATACGGATATACAGAAAATCCTTTTAAGGAAATGAGTATGTTTGGGGCACTGTTCAATGTTCAACCATGAGTGTCAAGGTGTGAGTTCCAAGATTTCATCAATTCGTATTGTCTTGAAGATGTTGAAGGCAATCAACGATAAATGTTTCTTCTTCTTCTCCTTCTTCTTCTCCTTCTTCTTCTTCTTCTTCTTCGTCTTCTTCTTGTGCAGACACAGACTCCCACACGTACCCAGTTAGAAGCAAAGGTTCTCCACTGGCATGTAACCAGCATCACTCTGCGGGCAGCTGCGTTCATACCTGTGCGAGCTGGACCCTACTAGATGCCTTGATGGACTGGATTTGGATTTAGATACTGGATGTTGATTTACCCAATCCGAGTAGTCCTAGAGGCAGAGTGAATGACTGCCCGAAAGCATGACGCAATCAGGGCTTGGGCTCAATCTGGCCGCACCCTCGAGATGTTTCCTATCCTCGTCATCGTCCCTGCCATGTCACTTGCCCTGGACCTTGCGGAAGTCTGGGCAGATGTCACCAACGCAACATCCAGTGACCCTCAGAGGAGTTGGCCCCACTACAGTATAGATCAGTACTGTCTATCACTGGCTACTTTTATCTTCCTCTTTTTGTTGCTCATATGTGTGTGCTGGTGTTCATCCGGATAGTTGTTGATGTTCAAATCCTATGTCATTTCATGTTAATGGTTTTTGTTGATGCCAGTTATCCCCAGTGTTATATCACCAAAGCTGCTTGATTCATCTCTCCAGAAATGTGAATCCCAATATGTAAAACCCACACCTCAGGAGGGTTCAGAGATCACCTGTCATTTCGGAGTCGTTTGCATCGACATCAACGACGCCGATGCTCGCTGTGAAGCTTTCGCCTGTGCACAGGGCGACCCACAGTTGAGACGGAGTGACAAAGCTGCTGCCATGGCTGCCATGGCTGACAAGTCGAAGCAGTCGAAGAAAAACGGTGCGAAGTCAGAAGGATTTGGAAATCGCATTCGATGCCACTGCGGGGTGGTGTGTCAGTGGGGATTTCATCAGCGTGGGGCCAGGAAGATTTGCAGCACTGGCTTCAAGAAGTTGTTGTATGATTTGTATGTTAGTAAAGCAATGCCATGTTTACCACCTGGGTTGATGGTTGGAATCCAGCCATACAATGCCATAGCAATGGTGAAATAATTGGGATGGTTCACTATTGCTATCTATTGCTTTACCAACACTACACGTTTTTTGCTGTCCTGTTCTTCTTTTCACCTGTGGGAAATCGTACTGACCACCATAAAAAAAGCCCCAATTACTTTACTTCGTGTGATCCCCACCATGACATTTATACATTTTCTTACTGGCAAATCTTCTGGCATTCTATCTGACATATCTTCTGACATTCTATTTGGCATTCTATCTGGCATATCTTCTGGCATATGATCTGGCATCTTCTGGCATATCTTCTGGCATTCTATCTGGCATATCTCTTCTGGCATTCTATCTGGCATATCTTCTGGCATTCTATCTGACATATCTTCTGGCATTCTATCTGGCATATCTTCTGGCATCTGGCATATCTTCTGGCATTCTATCTGGCATATCTGGCATATCTGGCAAATCTTCTGGGATTCTATCTGGCATATTTTGTGGCATATCTTCTGACATTTTATCTGGCATTCTATTTGGCATACCTTCTGGCATTCTATCTGGCATATCTTCTGGCATTCTATCTGGTATATCTTCTGGCATTCTATCTGGCATATCCTCTGGCATTCTATCTGGCATATCTCATGGCATTTTATCTGGCATATCTTCTGACATTCTATCTGGCATATCTTCTGACATTCTTTCTGGCATATCTCATGGCATTTTATCTGGCATATCTTCTGACATTCTATCTGGCATATCTTCTGACATTCTTTCTGGCATATCTTCTGACATTCTGTCTGGCATATCTTCTGTCATTCTTTCTGACATTTTTTCCGGCATTCTATCTGGCATATCTTCTGACATTCTATCTGACATCTTTTCTGACATTCTTCCCGTTGAGGTCCGGCAGTGCCCACTGCGATCTGGAAGTCGCGGTTGAGGTCCGGCAGTGCCCACTGCGATCTGGAACTGCAACTCGCGGTTGAGGTCCGGCAGTGCCCACTGGGATCTGGAGCTCGCGGTGGAGGTCCGGCTGTGCCCACTGGGATCTGGACTGCGAGGAGGAGGCGGCGGGTGAGGAGGCAGAGGAGGCGGAGGAGGAGGAGGAGAAGAGCTCTGTTAAAATCTAGCAACCCTCCCCTGGCAGGTGGGGAAAATCTCAAGGGGAACTCATCGCATGTCCGATGTCAGTCCATTCCCCCATGGACAAAGCAGTTGTAATCACCATGTGATCGAGGTAATGGACCGCTGTATTGCAGCTCCTGCTACCCCTCTTCACCGGCTTACGGCTCGGTGGGAATTCGTTGATGCGCGCCATGGCACCAAATGGCAGCAGAATCAGAAGGAAAGGAACAAACACGACGTCAAAAAATAGCTGACTCTTTAGCTATAAACCCAACTTACAAAAGCGATATTTAGGATGACTGAAATGCTTTGACCACCGTTGAGATGCATTGAAACATATTGAAACTATGGCCAAAGCGTTGCTAACGTGCTACTGAACGTTCCTTGGTACCACGAGTGACTTCAGGGCCGACAGTAGAAGGCCTTGCACAGCCGGCAACAGCTGCACAGCGAAACGCGGCAAACTTTTTGAGTCTCAATTTTCTGGAGAATTGAAGCAAGAAAATGTGGAGATTGGCGATGAATTTCTCAGAAATGTCTATATCCTACACATTATTTTGCTAAGATGAAGGTGTGGACATTGCAGCAATCGGCAACGCACAAGGTGTTGTCAATTCCACATGCAGCAAGGAAACCTGCACTTTTTGATGGCAGGATTTGCTTCATCCGCCACCGGACTCCAGATGTACAGATACCATCAAAAGATTTTGGCAGCTTTGAAAAGCGCTTTGAAAAGCGCGTTTCCGCTCTGAAAATCACGAGAATCGGATCCGTGTTTTTTCGAGCTTCTAAATCCTTGAATTGAAGTGCATGGTTGGATTAATACATTCAATGGATAGCAGCCCACATGTGTGCCATGGTCAAAAACTTGGGGATAGCCAGATCTTCCAATGGTCATCAGTCCATGTTCATAATGATTTATATTCCCATCATAAGAAATCATATTCATAATGATTTACATTGCTCAAGAAATACCCATTGTCATCACCTTACATTATAATGATCTATATACCATCTTAACCATCTTAACCATCATTTATTATACCGTGGTATTATTCATTATAAGTGCACGGGTGACCATCACCGTGTACCTTGCCAGGTGGACCTCACTCAAGCGAAGTGCTGCGCGCTTGGCGAAGGTGATCACCATGGACATGAAAATTCTGGGATGGTAGGATTGATAGATGGTTTACCTGAGTTTACCTATTAAAAATTGTGATTTTCCATGGCAAACTGTTAAATAACCAGAGGGTACATGTTGATATGAGATTCTGGGAGAAAAAAACGCTGGGATAATTATATAATTATATATATACATTTGTTGTACGAAAGCCTCCCCAAGTTGGGGTGGCTCACCGGACAAAGAAATCGCAAAGTCAGATGTATATCTAACAAAAATATCTCCAGAGATCATCAGCTTACAAAGACTAAAGCAACTTAAATGCTGTGGATAGACAGTCACTCCAGGTGACGCTCCGACGTCACTTGACCAAGGTCTAAGGTGTTGCAGTTGGTTGGTCCGGGAAAATCATTGAATCATCCCATTGAATCCAGATTCCACATGTTGTTCCATCAAAAATCCCATGGAAAATAATCTGCTTGGTGGTTTGGAACATATTTTTTCCCATTGTGTTGGAAATTTTATAATCCCAACTGACGAACTCCATCATTTTTCAGAGGGGTAGGTTGAAACCACCAACCAGAAAAAAACTGTTGATGGTTCCCCTGGTGTCTAAAATCTCAGGCGGCAAGATGAATGCTGTCGACAACTCGCCCAGGACTGGCAATCAATGTTTTAAAAAGTTGGGGGGAAACAGAATTCCCATGTTTTTTTACTTAAAAATGTGTTCCCAAATAATTCCAACATGTTTAATCAATCACTATCAGCTTAAAAAATTGGTCTCGCATGGTGTCGGATGTCGTACTATTGTAAGCGCGCTTTGGACATTGGACACGGCTCGGTCAACCCAGAGGACAGTTGAAGGGGTTATGTTTGTTGCAGGGTATCTCAAGAGGGTTCGGGGATGTTGATACCAGTTCATAGAACCAGCTGGGAGTCAGCGAAAATTGAGAATGATTTAGATACAGGGAGGGGGGCTACAAGACAAACCACCGCGTTTCAGCATGTGAAATCATATCGTACACTGAATGTGCATACATCTCCAAGCAATTGATAGAGTTCAAGTATCGAAGAAACACCTGTGTGTGTGTTAATCATAGCCAAATACTCATAATTTCTACTTCCAATGTCATGTTATATAGTACTAGATACAGCCATGGTAACATGTTTTCGTAATTTATGAGGACGTCTCACTACCTGCCATATTTCAGGATGAACATCCTTAAATTAAATTTCAGTTTCGGTTTGAAAAAAGGGAAAATCCCACTTGTATCCCCTCAAGAGTCTTCTAATTGCTCTTAATGGAATATGGGAAATATGGTAGGGAAAGTCAAGATGGTTATATATAGGTATATACACATACATAAATACATATGTGTGCGTAGACATACGTACGTACGTACATAGATACATAGATACATACCTACCTACCTACCTACCTACCTACCTATCTACCTCCCTCCCTGCCTGCCCTGCCCTGCCCTACCCTACCCTACCCAACCTACATTCATCCACTGATCCATCCATGCATCCATGCATGCATATATTATGCAGACATGTATACATATGCATGTGTGTATATTATATTGTGAGACCCTTAAGATCCCACACTGGCAGCTGCGTCCTCCTCCGCAAAGCGGCTTGCCGCCTGTTTTCCCCACAAGGGAACAAGTCTGGGTGGCACTGGGTTTGGAGAAAGGTCTCCAAAAGGCTGCAGCAAAGGTCGGCCTGCAGGTGCGTCGGATGCACCAAGCTATGCAAAGATGGCCCCTGGCCAAGCTTTCCGAAAAGAAAGAGCGTCCACACTCGGTTTTATGGCTCTGCACTCGCTCGAAATGCCCTCCCACCTACAGTCCCAAATTGGCCCTCCTGAGCCCACAGGTGCTGTTGGAAATGAAGCTTTGTTAAACCCCTTTTGATTGGTCGTTTCGTTTCATGTTCATGAGGAGTATGGGCAATGCAATGATGTTGAATCACAATATATATATATAATATAATATATATATAATATAATATATATAATATAATATATATATATAATATAATATATATATTATATAATATATATATAATATAATATATATATATAATATAATATATATATATAATATAATATAATATATATATATATATATATCTGTGTGTGTACTATATGTGCTGAAAATATCATATATGGACGGTGATAAGCATCCCATCCCCCAGGACCACTACGAGATTTTGGGTCTGCCACCATTGGCAGAGCCAGAGGAGGTCCGCCGCGCCTACCGGGACCTCGCAAGGCGCTGGCATCCGGACAAGCACCAGAGCAGGTGAGGGGCAGAGGGGTTGCGAAAATGTGGGGGGGGTATGGAAATTCACCAGGAAAAGTAGAAAAAGATTGGGTGTGCCCTTAGAAATTCTTGTTTTACGGGAAAAAGTTGAAGGTCAAAAGCCTGGTGAACATGGAAATAGCTGGGATTTATGGACATCCATTACCCCCAACAATACGGTATAATAGGGTTACCCATTGGAAAGTCTATGGGAAAATGCAAGGAACACATGGGAAAAAAGGATGGTCATATTTTTAAAAATCTCGGGAATGTTTTGGAAATTGGTGGAACAATTGTGTAAATTGGTTGTAGGGAAAACTTGCGGGAAACCAGTGGTTTTTCCCCTTTGGTTTAAGGGAAATGTCCCATAAACTTTGTGTACCCACGTTTGACCCATACCCCGATAGAATTAGGACGGGAGGAGCTTTGATTTCTTTGGTGAGCCACCAAAAACGTAGATCATTGGTATCGCTGGAAAACCTGAGAAATTCTTGGGTGAAATCTGTTGAAACATGTTTGAGGCAAGCAAAATTTGAGATTGTACTCGGCAGAATTGGGATTTGACAATTGGAAGTACTGGGTGGAAGAAATCCTGCACCCTGGTTGGTTGAAACCCTATGGAAAATGGATAAAATTGGATGTTTACCACCGTTTTCAACTGGTGCAGGATTTCGCAACCATCCACAGTATGGTGTTTTTTAGTTTTTTTGTAAATGGGGTTTAGCATAAAAAATGGTGGTCTAATATGGTTTTATACTTGGATTTAACCATTCAACATGATGGGTTGACGGGGTGTTTGCCCAGCTTTCACCCGTCTTGTTTCGTCTGTTTGTCAAATGCAAAGTGCACATGATCAAAAATGAGCGTTTCGTTGTGGCGAAATGGCCATTTTCACAGATGTCTGTGATGTGCAATGGAAGTTCTGCTTAGAGGTGTCAACATAACTTTCAATTTTTCAAAAAATGGAAGTTCGGAGCAACCCTTACAGGGGTTTGTGGGGGCGATACGTTGGCATTTTGAGCTTTTTCTTTCACTTTTCACGTCATCCACGAGGCATCTTCAAAACACTTGACATGACTGACTTTGTCAGTCATGTTGGCACTGAACTGAGCAAAAGCCGTCATTGTCGCTTCCAGGCCTAAGTGCACACGAACGTCAACACAGCCCCACCCCCACCCCGCTACCATAAAGGTGCTCTGGCAACACATCTTCCATCACTCTGATTGCATGCCTCGCATGAAAGGTGCCATAGCATCTATAGATGAGGCCAAGAACAGTAGTTGGACGAAAATCTGAGGCAGACTGCGGCGAGTCAGATTTGGCCAGGCATGTCACACGGCCAAACCATTTGTGCTGGCCACATCCCACTTGATTCTGCAGTAGCAAAGATTCGGCAGAAATTTTCAAGCACACAATTGGGCATGGCTCTCAAATCTTGGATGGACACGCCGTCCAACCCTGCAGAGGTGGTGGTCTGTTTGCGAACCGCATAACTTCTCAAAGCTTCAGCGTCAAGAGGGATCCAAGGCAACCAACCTCGAGGCAACTTGTCTTGGGCAAACTGCATGATAGTATGCCAGCGCTCTGGCGGGACGTCATCATGTCGTTTCCACCGTGCACCCCAAGTTTCAAGGAACTCCGCAGCAAGCTCAGCGGTTGGCCCTTCGTAATTCAACTGAGAAACTGAGGTCCCTTGTTCAATGTCATCAACAGAGTCAAGCCAGAGACAGTCATGATCCCAGTAAATATCTCTACGCCTACCGCCTACCATGACTGGTCGGTCCAAATTCCACGAATGCAAAGAGGACAAAATAATGGAGACCGTTGCAACAACTGGTTTGCAAAGCAGTTCAACCCCCTGCGTGGGTGCCACTTTAATGTCTTGGAAGATTACATTAGGGTTATTGGCCCTACGAAGTCTGGCATACTGGCGAGAGCTTTTAACCAGGTCTTTTTCAAGGCTACGGACAGATAATGCCAAGGACTCAAACATGGCCTGAGCAACTCGGCAGGACGGCGGTGACACCGGACAGATCGCCGGGGCATCAAGTGTGGCATGGTCACAATTGTTCCACCATGTCATGAAATCGGGACAGAAACCCTTGGCACGGCAAATGGAGCCCCAAAGCAGGCCTGCGTGTGCATCAAAAACGTCCCTATGACTCACGTGCCTTACATAGGACTGGATCCTTCTCACTTGGCAGACCCATTGTGAATGCCGAATGGAAACACCATGGAAATTGGGTTGGAACTCACCAAACCATGCCCTTTTGATGGGTGCAATGCGTCCCCCTGCAGCCCGTTTCGTATTGAGTGTGGCTCCCCTACCTAACTGGTGTTGCGGCACGGCAAACGGAAGAAAATATTAGTAGTAGTAGTAGTAGCAGTAGTAGTAGTAGTAGCAGTAGCAGTAGTAGTAGCAGTAGCAGCAGCAGCAGTAGTAGTCTAGTAGTAGTAGGTGTTGTTGGTGTTGTTGTTGTTGTTGCTGTTGCTGTTGCTGTTGCTGTTGTTGTTGTTGTTTGTTGTTGCTGTTGTTGTTGTTGATGTTGTTCTTGTTCTTCTTGTTGTTGTTGTTCTTCTTGTTGTTGTTGTAACTGTAGTGTAGTGTAATGTAGTGTAGTGTAGTGTAGTGTAGTGCGGTGGGGTTGAAGGTTCAAAAGTGGTTCAAACAGGATGTGTTTTGTACATTTTGACTTCCAAACGTGTTTCGCGCCACAACGGCGTGCACTTTTTGGACATCTCAACTTCCGAAAGAGGTCCGAGAATGTGTTTTGTACATGTTTACTTCCAAATGTGCTTCGCGCCACAACAGCATGCACTTTTTCAACCGTGCTCCGACACTGATGTGCTTGTAACATTTTGGCTTCCAAATCTGCTTCACGCCTCTGATTGGAAAAACATGGCGTTTCGCGACTTTTCTACCTTTTCCCGCTCTTTCATCTTCTCTTTTGACTCTTTCTCTTCTCTGATCTTCTTTCTTCTTCTCGGCTCTTCTCTGACTGCTCTCACCCCTGTTGCTTCATCTGCCCATATCGTTGGAAGTTTGACTTCTAAACTTCCTTCGATGATTGAAACTCTGCAAAAACGACGAGATGAAGCAAGACTCAGGGGTGTATAACCCAGCCACAATGCCAAGATGCTCCCATTTTGCAGTGGAGAGAAAGTATGATTGTAGCATGATGCAACCCACTTTTACTGTGACAATTTTGGAACAGCTTTCTGAAGGATGTAATAGGCAAATGTAGTATGTTATTTAGCAAAATGCCCATTGAACATTGTTGGTGATTCTAGAACATCACAATGTCTTGTATCTGTGTACAGATATTTGTAGATTTTTAATATAGATATAGATATTTACATAAATATAGACATACTATCATGAATATTCTTTGTATCTCCAACCGCTCCGCCAGGTCCTTGGATCTCCGTGACCGCGCGGCGCAGCGCTTCACGCGCATCCGCCATGCCTACGAGGTCCTGTCCGATGAGGCCCTTGGCACGGTCGCATGGTGCCTGGTTGCCTTATGGAATACTAAGACGTGAGTAATGGAATTTCAAGGGAATACTTAATGGAATACGGTATGAATATGTTTTTAATTTATTTATATTTTTGTGGAAAAGTAAGAATTTGAATATATATATATTAAGTGGATGTTAGTGGGATGTTAGCGACCCCGGTAAAGCTCTGATATTCATGGAATGTTTATGGAATATCACCGGAACACCAATGGAATATCAGTGGAATGTTTGTAGAATAGGTATAGATGTTAATGGGATGCGTGGGATAAGATGATTATTTAATGGTGAGATAGTGGAGGATTAGTGGTATATTAATGGGCAATTAATGGGTATCAGTAGAAAATATCAATGGAATACTAGTGGAGTATGGATATCCATGGAATATTATTGATATCTATTGGTATCCATATCTATGGGATGTTGATGTTGGTGGGATTCGTGGGCATCAACGGTGATTTGACGAATAAAATTAATGATGACAAATGGTGATAGATTGGGATTTTGATGGGGTTTTAGTGGAATATTCGTGGGTATTAGCTAATATGGATGGATCAATTACCAATTAGATTCATGCGCATGATCCATTGAGCGAAAGAAGAGGTGTAAGACCCAATCAATAGCTGTTTTTTCACCAACGGGACACTGATTGCGAATCACAAACTCATTTCTTCACCTATGAGTCATGTTCGCATGTAAGACCCGGATTTTTCATCACCAATGATAATTGCCTTGGAAATAAGTTCTCCCACCCGTTTGGGCCATCAGTGGAAACGACTTGCCCCATTTTCAGACAAACCCACATATCATATTACTGGTTTTATATATATATATATATCCCATTACACCACATCAATTCCAGGTATATCCCGGAAAATGGTTGGTTATATCCCCAAATAACTGGAAAAAAACAGTAATTCCAGGGCAGGAATGTCCCATTCCTATTGTTGGCAATATCTATATATATATATATATACTCTCCACTAATATCCCATTAATATCCCACTAAATCACCAATAAATAATCCTTTTCATTGGCTAGATCACCATTAATGCCCACTAATCCCAGATTTCATGATTGGTTATACCCCCCAGAAAAAACATCGGTTGAACCTTGATGATTTTTGCCCTTCGGCCAGGGTTTGAAGCAAAGCTACGACGTGCAGCTGCGACATGAGGCCAGTGGTCACCGCAGAGGTGGTGGAGTTCAGGGTCGTCTCCTCAGTTATTTGGCCCTGGAAAGTTGGAGATTTCACGAAGTAAAAATGTGTTTGAACTGATTTAAAACGCATTTGAATGAACTAAGCTGTTCATCAACAAATATGAGGACTTCACAAACATCGGAAATTGGGATTTAACCGCCATGTGCATTTTTCCACCCAGAAATGAATTGTAGAAATTGCTGCCGTTCAAGGCACCAAGGTCCCGGTCGGTTCTCGGCAATGATCGGGGGAACTGTAGCAAAAAAAGTGCATAACTGCCTGGTGGTTTCAAATCTTCAATTGGGGGATACCCCAACCACAATAGGAATAAATATATTGTGGGATATAGTATGGCTGGTTGCCTTGGTTTCTCGTTTCAAGCATTCTTGATTATCCTGAATTTCCATAGGTCATTTCCCGCCAAGCCAACAGTGATGGCCTTTTTGGTCTTCGCCTGGATAGTGGATTTGCTGGACATGTGTCGCATTAACAGATCCCACTTTAATCGCCTTTACATTCACTGCTACTGTACTTAAATGAACCAAGATGAATAGAAAATGCTCTACATGGTGAATTTACCCAAAAAAAATACATTGGGGGTTTACCAAAAAAGATTGTTGTGTTAAAATATATTCCCCCATATTTATCGAAGGAAGTTAAGAAGTCAAACTTCCGACAATATGGACAGATGAAGAGCAGAGACGGAAGAGTCAAAGAGAAGGAGTAGAAGAGAGAAGATCAGAGAAGAGAAAGAGTCAGAAGAAAGAAGCTCAGGTGCGCGAAAAGGTAGAAAAGTCGCGAAACACTGTGTTTTTCCAATGATTTGTGGCTCCGGAGGGTCGAAAAGTAGGCTCGCTAAAGCGGCGGGTGCGGAGCCATCTGGCCAGATGAGAAATGAAAAAGTGCACGCTGTTGGGGCGCGAAGGACATTTCGAAGTCAAAATGTTATAGACACCAGGGGTTCGGACCACTTTTGGAAGTTGAGATGTCGAAAAAGTGCACGTCGTTGTGGCGCGAAGCACATTTCGAAGTCAAAATGCTATAAACACCAGGGTTCGGACCACTTTTGGACGTTCAGATGTCGTTTCGCGTGGCAGGCGCAAGGGCTTGTGCACCTTCTCAAAAGTGAGCAAAACGCAAGGGTTTTGTAGCTGGCAGGCGTGGAACATGTCAAGAGGATCTGAAAAGATGCATTTCGCGTGGCAGACGCAGTGCAAGAGACATCTTCATCAGAGCTGTTAGGAGGTCCGGGCGCTGATGTCCTGAGAGGGGTTGCATTTTGGAGCATCAGATCTTCAGACTTGCTAAAATGATTTTGCGTGACAGCACCTTTTCATGGCAGGCGCAGCACTTTACACAGATGGAGTGGAAAAATCACAAAACGCGTTGGTACGAGGCCGTCAGCACTGGACGCAACTTTCCATTTTTGAAGGAAGTCTCGCAGAATTGCTTTATTTTTGATGTTGTCATTTCAAAAATTGAAGAAGTCTCGCAGAATTGCTTTATTTTTGATGTTGTCATTTCAAAAATTGAAGAAGTCTCGCAGAATTGCTTCGTTTTGGATGTTGTCAAGTTCAAAAAAAGAAGAAGTCTCGCAGAACTGTTTCGTTTTTGGCGTTGTCAAGTTCAAACACTGAGGAAGTCTCATAGAATTGCTCCATTTTTTATTTTGTCAAGTTCAAAACCTGAGGACGTCTCGCAGAATAGTTTCGTTTTCAAGCTTGCAGATAGACAGGCAGATAGATAGACAGAGAGACAGATAGAGAGAGAGAGAGATAGATAGATATAGATAGATATAGATAGATATAGATAGATATAGATAGATATAGATAGATATAGATAGATATAGATAAATATAGATAGATATAGATAAATATAGATAGATATAGATAGATATAGATAGATATAGATAGATATAGATAGATATAGATAGATATAGATAGATATAGATAGATATAGATAGATATAGATAGATAGAGATAGATATAGATAGATATAGATAGATATAGATAGATATAGATAGATATAGATAGATATAGATAGATATAGATAGATATAGATAGATAGATAGATAGATAGAGAGATAGAGAGATAGCTAGCTAGCTAGCTAGCTAGCTAGCTAGATAGATAGATATAGATAGATAGATAGATAGATAGAGAGATAGCTAGATAGAGAGATAGCTAGATAGCTAGCTAGCTAGCTAGATAGATAGATAGATAGATAGATAGAGAGATAGCTAGATAGCTAGCTAGCTAGCTAGATAGATAGATAGATAGAGAGATAGGTAGATAGATATAGACAGATAGAGATAGATAGGTAGATAGGTAGATAGATAGATAGGTAGGTAGGTAGGTAGATGGGATAGGATAGGACAGGATAGATGGATAGAGAGAGAGAGAAAGAGAGGTAGATAGATAGATAGATAGATAGCTAGATAGATAGATAGATGGATGGATAGATGGATAGATAGATAGATAGATCGATAGATAGATAGTTCGATCGATAGATAGTTCGATCGATAGATAGATAGTTCGATCGATAGATAGACAGTTCGATCGATAGATCGATAGCGTCGATAGATCGATTAATAGATTGATTGAATGATTGGATGGATGGATGGATAGACAGATAGATAGAATAGATGCAGATGGATGGATAGGCAGATAGATAGATAGATAGATAGGTAGATAGATAGATACATGGATAGATAGGTAGGTAGGTAGATAGTCAGAGAAAGAGAAAGAAAGAGAGAGAAACAGAGGAGACCTCAACCACCTGTCGGTCCATCAGTGGCTTCGCTCTGCCATCTGTGATTCACAACAGCCAACCTCTCCTATAGGTTTCCTATTCTTGAAACTTCCGCCACCGCCTTGTGCGGTACTACTGGTATTTCTATGTATATACATATGTAGTCAGATGTACAATGATGTAACCCAAACCGATGGTCCACGGGGCAGGCCCGGCCAATGACATCGAGAGGCGGCCTGGAGGGCCCAGTGACTGGACTTTGCTGCGACTTCGCCACAAAAGATCCCCAAAATGGTGGTTGTTTCTGATTAATCATGAAATGTTCAACTTATCGAAGGAAGTTTAGAAGTCAAACTTCCGACAATATGGACAGATGAAAAGCAGGGCAGAGGCAGAGAGAAGAGAAAGATTAGAAGAGAGAAGATCAGAAGAGAAAGAGCCAGAAGAAAGAAGATGCAGATGCGCGAAAAAATAGGAAAGTCGCGAAACACTGTGTTTTTCCAATGATTTGTGGCTCCGGAGGGTCGAAAAGTAGGCTCGCTAAAGCGGCGGGTGCGGAGCCATCTGGCCAGATGAGAGATGAAAATTTGCACGCTGTTGTGGCGCGAAGCACATTTCGAAGTCAAAATGTTATAGACACCAGGGGTTCGGACCACTTTTGGAAGTTGAGATGTCGAAAAAGTGCACGCCGTTGTGGCGCGAAGCACATTTCGAAGTCAAAATGCTATAAACACCAGCTTCGGACCACTTTTGGCAGTTGAGATGTCGAAAAAGTGCACGCCGTTGTGGCGCGAAGCACATGTGGTGTTTTGTACATTTTGACTTGGAAATGTGCTTCGCGCCACAACGCCGTGCACTTTTTCGACATCTCAACTGCCAAAAGTGGTCCGAAGCTGGTGTGTTTTGTACATGTTGACTTGGAAATGTGCTTTGCGCCACAAAGGCGTACACTTTTTCGACATCTCAACTTCCAAAAGTGGTCCGACACTGGTGTGTTTTGTACATTTTGACTTTCGCACCACTTTTGGAGGTTCGGATGTTGAAAAAGTGCACGCCGTTGTGGCGCGAAGCATATTTCGAAGTGAAAATGTACAAAACACTAGGGGTTCGGACCTGGTTCAGATGTAGCTTCGCCGCTTCGCTTCACTACACTACACTACGTTACATTACACCACACTCCACTATACTACACTACATTACACTACACTACACACCACAACACTACGACTACAACTACACAACTAGACTACACTCCACTACATTAAATTTCATTACACTACATTACACTACACTACGCTCCACTACACTACACTACATTAAATTACACTACACTCCACTACACTACATTACACTACACTACGCTCCACAACACTACAACTACAACTACACAACTACACAACTACACTCCACTACACTCCACTACACTAAATTACACTACACTACACTACATTACACTACACTACACTCCACTACACTACACTCCACTACACTACACTTCATTACACTACACTACCTTCCACTACACTTCACTACATTACACTACACTCCACTACACTACAACTACAACTACGACTACACAACTACACTCCACTACACGAAATTACACTACACTACACTACATTACACTACACTACAATACACTGAATGACACTGCACCACAGATAGACAGGTAGACAGATAGATAGATAGATAGATAGACAGCTAGACAGATAGACAGATAGACAGATGAAAGAGAGAGAGAGAGAGATAGAGAGATAGATAGATAGATAGATAGAAAGATAGATACATAGAAGATAGATAGGTAGGAGATAGTCAGAGAAAGAGAGAGACAGAGAGGAGACCTCAACCACCTTTCGGTCCATCAGTGGATTCGCTTTGCCATCCCTGATTCACAACAACCAACCTCTCCTATAGGTTTCCTATGTTTGAAACTTCCGCCACCGCCTTGCGCGGTACTACTGGTAACTAGATATATAACCAGGGGTTATGTCCCAATCTATGGAAGTTATTACCATGGTTATATTCATTATTATTTCCTCAGAAATCCCGAAATGTCCTTGGCATGTTTTGGTGTTTGAGGTCTTGGATCGCATTCAAAGGAGCCCGAGTCGGACATAGAACGGCACTGGGCGGATCATGCTGCTTGGATCAGCATGTTCCGGGGCCGAAATGTGGGATTCACCCAATGCCATAGTCACCATATAGCCACCATCCCCCCAAGATTGAGGTGTATGGAATTGTATATACCCCTAGAAATGGGTTTCTGTTGATTATAGCCCCCAGTCAAGATGGGATGATGACTATGTTGGCTTTACCTCAGTCGTGTTGCGAGTCCTGGACGCTGTCACCGGCTGTCGCCAGACCAAGGAGCAAACGCTTTGACCACTGGGACCAGGTCATAGGGCACAACACGGGAGTGGATGGCAGCTCAGGAATAAGTGTCTTGTTTGGTTCCCGGGCTTCCTGACATCCTAATTGGGGACCATTGGTCGACTCCGTGAAATACCAAAATTCATTGTTCCAATCAATGTACACTTTACGTTGAAAGGTCAACGCAGCTTTTTAGGACCCCGTAGTCAGTTTGGAGATTCCAATAAAAGCACAACTCCTGCACACATCGACCGAGAACGACTGGATCGCAGTCAAATGACAAAATCTTTCCCATCCTTGTCCTCAACTCTCCGCAAGCCGATAATACGACTCTGCTTCAAATGCATCTATCTGGACGCAACGTCACTGGAATGATGTTTCATACGGATAACTTCCAGTATGGCCTTTTTCAGGTTTGTGTGAACTATGCCGATTCATCCACATCTATATTCCGGTGCCAATGAACCCGTAGTCCATTTTTCTTGCTGGCTTGGGCTTATGATCAGTTTCCCTATTGTCGCCTGGTGCTTGCTCCACATGGTAGGCCGAACTTGAGCGTGGGGCGATTGCTGTTTTTTGGAGTGAGTTGGGACAGAAGCCAGTCACACCAGCGATGATTCGCTTATTTAAAGATTTAGTACCCTTCGGAAGGGCTTTGAATTCATGTTTATGCATACATGTGTATACATATTACATGTGTATATTATATATATATCTTTTTCTTCCGTGAAGTTCTTGGAAGTGACCTGTTGGACGCATCTCCGATACCGTCCACTACATGTTTTTCTGGGTGTTTGGGGCAAATTTACATATCTTTGGCTCTATTTGAATCACGTTTGATCATCTCAACATTGACATCTGAACATATCTGTACATATCTGAACATGATTTATCTTTAGAACTTACCTTGTGACTTTGTTGCAGGTAGATCTTAACATCAGAAAAGAAAAAGGGCGGTGAAAAACCGCGGCATCAATTGACCTCCCTAGAGGTCGGCATTGTTACGGCGCTGCTGTGTGCCACGCGCTGCGTTGCAGCATGTTGCGGCCATTTGCCATGTGCAGAAAAAGATGATTATTATTGCTATCATTGTTAGTTGTTATTGTTTTTTCGACTATTAGTATTCGTATTATTTGGGTTTTTAGTAGTAGCTGTCGTCCTCGTAGTAGTCTTAATAGTCGTAGTCGTAGCAGCAGCAGCAGCAGCAGCTGCAGCAGCTGCAGCAGCATTCGTAGTAGTCGTCGTCGTTGTCGTCGTAGTAGTACTAGTACTAGTACTACTGTTGATGGAAGAAATCCTGCACCACTTTCGAAGGCCTACACTTGAAACCTCGCGCTCCTAATTTAATATTGTTTGAAGACACAGTGATCAAAATGGATTTGTGCGAGTGACGGAAATCTTGCACCACCTGTTAACATGTCATTCAACATTGAGCTTGGGGGTGCGGGGGTACAAGTTATGCATTAGCAAACGAAAGGTTATAGAGGTGGTGTAGGATTTCTTCCACCCACCGAAGAAAGAAAAGGAATTCTTGTATTTTTGGTCTTGCAAATGTCTTCCCGCCACCATCTACTTCCAGGGGATCATTCATCTTTGGTTCTTCTCATGGTTCCCCCAGTGTGGCTTCACTCTTCACCTGCACACAGCTGAGCACGAGGCAAAATAAGCTACATGGCAACCGCCACACGCTACACTGCAAACCAGACGCAACACTCACGCTACACTACACGCAGCACTACACGCTACACTACACGCAACACTGCCGAAACGCTGCCAGGGGCAGCATTTCGGGTCAGGACAGAAAAATTGACGTGTATTTTCACTTCATTCCTTAAAAGCCTCAAGGCTCCAAAAATGCTGCCCCTGCCAGCAGTTCGGTAGTGTTGCGTGTAGTGTTGCGTGTAGTGTAGCGTGTAGTGTTGCTGGGGGCTGCCACGCAACACTGGTCACTTTCATGAGCTTCTTTGAAAAGGATTCTGCTTCCTCCCTCCTTCCGGCTGCTTTGCCCAGCTTGTGTTGCAATAGAGTCAAATTCAAATGCACCAGGCTCCATGACCTTTAATTCAAACGTTAATGATCTGACAGGTTAATGCATATGGCCAAAACATCCTTCACCTTCTGCCCGCTGCTTCTTTGCAGTTCTTCACCCAGGCACATAAAATTTCAGTACCGTAGTACTAGTGCTAGAAGGAGTAGGAGTAGTATAGTAGGAGCAGGAGTAGTAGGAGGAGGATTGTTATTATTATGGCGGAAGTTTTAAAAAAAGTAAACCTATAGGAGAGGTTGGTTGTTGTGAATCACGGATGGCAGAGCGAATTCACTGATGGACCGACAGGTGGTTGAGGTCTCCTCTCTTTCTCTCTTTCATTCTCTCTTTTTCTGACTATCTACCTACCTACCTACCTACCTATCTATCTATCTATCGATCGAACTATCTATCTATCGATCTATCTATCTGTCTATCTATCGATCTATCGATCTATCTATCTTTCTTTCTTTCTTTCTATCTTTCTATCTTTCTATCTTTCTATCTATCTATCTATCGATCTATCTATCTATCTATCTTTCTTTCTTTCTTTCTCTCTCTCTATCTATCTATCTATCTATCTCTCTCTCTTTCATCTGTCTATCTGTCTAGCTGTCTACCTGTCTATCTATCTATATATCTATCTATCTATGTATCTATCTATCTGTCTATCTGTCTATCTATTTTCTTATCTTATCTAATCTTATCTTTTCTTATCTTATCTTTTCTTATCCTACCTTATCTTTTCTTGTCTTATCTTATCTCACCTATCTTTCTAATCTATCTATGTAGCCATCCATGTATCTAGCTACTTACCTATCTACCTATCTATCCATCCATCTATCTTTCTAATCTTATCTTACCTTATCTTTTCTTACCTTACCTTATCTTATCTTATATTGTCCTTTCTTATCTTTTCTTTTTTATCTATCTATCTATCTATCTTTCTATCTATCTATCTATCTGTCTATCTGTCTATGTTTCTATTTATCTATCTATCTATCTATCTATCTATCTATCTAGCTATCTAGCTATCTAGCTATCTATCTATCTATCTCATCTGGCTATCGAACTATGTATCTTTCTATCTCCCCATCTACCTATCTATCTATCTATCTATCTATCTCTCTGCCTGTCTGTCTGTCTATCTATCTACCTGTCTTTCTGCAAGCTTGAAAACGAAGCTATTCTGCGAGATGTCCTCAGGTTTGAACTTGACAACATCAAAAACGCAGCATTTCTGCGAGACTTCCTCCTGTTTGAACTTGACAACGTCAAAAACGAAGCAATTCTGCGAGACTTCCTTCAAAAATGGAAAGTTGCGTGCAGCGCTGACGGCCTCGTACCAATGCGTTTCGCGATTTTCCCATCCATTTGTCTAAACAACTGCGCCTGCCACGAACAAGTGATGCCAGGTCATACGAAGTGTTGCACCTGTCACGCAAAATCATCTCAGCAGATCTGAAGATCTGATGCTCCAAAATGCAACCCTTCTCAGGACATCAGCGGAAAATGCATCTTTGCAGATCCTCTTCAATCTTTTGAAATGCTACAAAACCCTCACGTTTTGCTCACTTTTGACAAGGTCCACAATCCCTTGCGCCTGCCACGCGAAAGCGCATCTGAACGTCAAAAAGTGGTCCTTGCTTGGCAGGCGTGGCACTTCGCGACATAGATCGTCACTTTGCGTGGCAGGCGTGGCACTTCGCGACATAGATCGTCACTTTGCGTGGCAGGCGTGGCACTGATGGCACTGCGCTGGCTCTGGTGGCGCGCTTGGTTCCCGTTTGGTGCCGTGGGCGTGGCCGCTGTTTGCGTGGCAGGCGTGGAACTGTTGGCACTGGGCTGGCTCTGGTGGCGCGCTTGGTTCCCATTTGGTGCCGTGGGCGCGGCCGCTGTTTGCGTGGCAGGCGTGGAACTGTTGGCACTGGGCTGGCTCTAGTGTTCCCATTTGGTGCCGTGGGCGCGGCCGCTGTTTGCGTGGCAGGGGTGGCACTTGGCGACATCGACCGTCACTTTGCGTGGCAGGCGTGGCACTTGGCGACATCGATCTCCACTTTGCGTGACCGGTGTGGCACTTATGGCACTGGACTGGCTCTGGTGCCACACAAAACTCTTCCACACAATTTTGTCACAGATTCATTTCACACACAACTCTTTGGCACACAACTTTGTCACATACATCTCTTTCACACACAAGCTTTTACACACAACTTTGTCACATACAACTCTTTCACACACAACACTTTTACATACACAAACTTACACACACAGCTCTTTCACCCAACCTGTCTTGCACCATCTCCTTTCCTTCCTGCCTTTCCCATCTCATTTTCACATCTGCTTGGTGATCACTGGAAGAAGTTGATTTGTGGGGTTATCCGGTCCTTTAATTTTTGGTTGGGCACTCCCGCGCTCATTCCTTCTCCTTCCTCCTCCTTCCTCCCGACATGCTCACGCACAACTTACTCACACACAACTTACACTCACACAACTTACTCACACACAACTTACTCACACACAACTTACTCTCACACCACTTAATCACACACTTGCTCTCACACAACTTACTCACACACAACTTCCTCACACACAACTTCCTCACACACAACTTACTCCCACACAACTTACTCACATCCACCTTCACTTTGCGTGGCAGGCGTGGCACTTGGCGACATCGACGTGCATTCTGCCTGGCAGGCGTGGCACTTAGGGCGCTGGGCTGGCTCTTGTGGCGCGCTTGGTTCCCGTTTGGCGCCGTGGGCGCGGCCGCTGTTTGCATCGCAGGGGTGGCACTCATGGCATTGGACTGGCTCTGCGGGCGCGCTTGGGCCCCAGACTGTCAAACTGTCATTGGTGTATTACTGTAGGTTAACCGTTGGTCAAAGCTTATCTCGGTCTATAAGCCAACCAAAAAAGCTGGGGGGTAGCACCTTGTAGTGATTCGATATAGTTTTCCCATAACTTGTTGTTGTACCTAGAATTG